TCACTCCTTTATATATAGTAAAGAGGGGGTTTAAGAGCACATCTAGGAGTTTAACCCCCTCTTTTCCTCCAACTCAAGATATCGGGGGGGCCCCTCCGCGCCAGCCGGCAGCGGAACAGAGCCACCCCCACACTCTATCTTGGGGGTCTCAGGGAGGTCCACCCCTCCGCAAGGGGTACCCTCCATTCTCCTTAGGACTCCCAGCTTCACTATTGGGGGCGGAGGATCTGCACCAGCAGGATCCACCGCCTCCCTCTTATTCTGGGGGGGTTTCAAGGGGACGAGGAAGGCACCCCGAGGCCCAATTTCCTTATCTCCCATCTTCTCCCCCCCCGACCACTCAGGGCGAGGCAGAGGGGGCGCGGCCGCCGAAACGCGGCCCCTTACGCCTCTCTCCTCAGTCCTTCCACTTTCATCCGTGGCCAAGCCACTCCGAAGCGAGGTGGGGGAGGCGCGGCCGCCGTATCGCGGTCCCTTACGCTCTCCCCCCCCAATTCTCCCACCTTTTTTGAGGGGCGCGGGAGGGGAGGCCAAAACCTCCGCCCCCCGTAGCCCTCTCTTGTTTCCTCCCCGCACCTCCGCGTCCGAGTCGCTTCGGGGGAACCGGAGGGCAGGAAGAGCCCCCAATACGGTGGTGGGATTCCACCCCCCTCACCTTACAGGCAGGGCAGCCTACCCGCCTGGTGCAGCTCTCCGTTCTATGCTCAAGCCCCCCGCACCGGAAGCATAATTTGCTCCGGTCAAGGGGACCAGGGCACTCCCATCCAATGTGCCCTCGGCACAAGCATCTGTAGCACCGAGGAAGTACCCCCGGCGCCACAGTCGCCCCATCTCTTTTTTGGGAAGCGCAGGCAGAGATTCCCCTCTTACGGGGACTTATTCCACCCCCCTCCCCCACCTTTTTGCCTTTGCAGGCTCTTACTTTTGGAGGGGTTTTATCCCCTCCACCGCCATTGACGCTCTGGCCTGTGTCGGCGTCACTAGTTTGAGGGGGTTCCCCCTCCCTACCACTGGGTATCCCCCTGGGTGAGGCACAAACCTCAGGCCATAGGGGTGGGGCAGATGTTACCCCCGCCCCTGCCTCGGCCCATCAAGGTGGGGCAGGTGCCACCCCCGCCCTTCCTTTTTGCACTGGAGCATTTTCCTTCCGTGCTGGCCGTATGTGGCCACACTGCCTACAAATGTGGGCCTCACCCAATAGCGCCATAAGGCGCTTATTCTCGGCCCTCAAAAGGGCCACCTCCTCCGCCATGTCCAGGAAACCCTGGAGGCATCGCAGGGCCGTCACCCCCGCTCCGTCCGCGGGGTGCCCGCGGGCACACCCCAGCTAGCCCGTCGCAAGATGACGACGAGGAGTTGGCCGGGACGGGACCAACTCCACGCCGGCCTCTGGATGTCCGGTCACCCTGAGGCGGTAATAAGCCGCAAGTCGTCGTCATCTTTAAATCCATGTATTGTAATTTATTAACAGAGTTTTCTTCTCCGGGTTTTTTATCGTGGTTTTTCTTCCACTAGGATGGTTGTTGATCAGAACTAATGAGCCCGTCCTGCCCGGATCTTTTTATAGAGGTTTTTCACCCTCGCGGCCCGTGCAAGCTTAATGCAAGCACCGGCCCCCGGCCCCATACTTGGGGTTACGGTGTAAGTCGCCACGCCCCCCCCCCCTCGTGCAATGGGGGGCCAGCCGTTATGCTGGAGCACCGGCGTGCTAACAAGACTGGCTAGGTCCCGGGTTTTCCCTGTGGTTTTCCTTCTACTAGGACGGTAGTCATCAGAACTAACGAGCCCGTCCCGCCCGGGTTTATCTTCGGAGTGTCCTTCTCCTAGATGTGCTCTTAGACCCCGAACCTCCCATCCATGCAGGAAAAACATTTCCTACATGAATGAGGAGATCGACGGTTTTGGGGAGCTCTGGCACCACGTCAAGGTGGCACATCGTTGCCAGGCTATTCACATGGCTTGTAGAAAACCGAGCAATTTGTAATTTGTAGAAAACTGAGTAATTTGGAGATTTGAACTTATTATCTCTATTTTTATGTATTCATATATTATAAATTCCACGTTCGTTAGTTACCCGTAGTCGCTATCTTGGTTGGCTAGTTTTTCCCTTGCCTCTGGCCTCAACTCCTCACGCTATCGCTCCGTCCATATATTTTTACGTCCATGATTGAGACTGTTAAATGGTTTTTTTAATAAAACGCTTTCTTTCTAAAAATATTAGATCGTTCCAGTACTTTACAAACATCCTGTATGCTTATATTAATTTACTTAAATTTTGTTACCAATTATTTATTACTATTTTTTATTATAGGTGGGATATAATATTGATATATGTAACGTTTAAATTTTTGCAAGGCGGTGGCACAGGAGGTATGGGCTTGTTAAATAATTTAAGATCTTTTCTTTGGATCCGTATCCAACAATATACTACTCGTGAGGTACAAGTAGAATTATTTAGGTAAGTTAATAAAAAATCAAGTTAATTTTTGTCATTTTTTAATTATTAAAATTGTATCGAGAAAGCCATCACACATGCACGCACACGCACGCACGCACGCGCGCACGCACGCACGCACGCACGCACGCACGCACGCACGCACGCGCGCACGCGCACGCACGCACACGCACACACGCACACACGTACACACGCACGCACACACACACAAACACCGTAAGTATATTTTATTGAAGGAAGATCGATTTTATTTTTTATTTAACACTAGAACGATCGACGATTAATGAATATCTATTTCTATTTTTTTTCTATCTTTTTTAAAAGAAAATGAAGGGAGGGGAGAAAGCAAATTGACTAATTTAATCATTTACGCATTGAAACAAGAGTCACAGAAAATCTTAGAAAATGCATTGTTGTGTAGGAATAGTTGAGTGATATATTGAGTGTAAAGTTATCGATATACCATATATGTAAAGATGCAAACGTATCGACACTTATTATATATATATAAGTGTAAAATCCGTGTGCATTGTGAATGTCCGTTCAATATACAGGGTGTTTTGTAAATACCTAACACTGAGTACGCTACGAGATTCCTTGTATAAAAGTGAGTAATAAAAGTTCTTATAAAAAAGTCGAGACACCAATAGTTTTTGAATGGTGAGCTGTTGAAGTTGACCAATTACGGAGCGGAACTATCGGGCGC